TGAGCCACACCCCAGCCCCTCACTGGGAGATTCTAGGCAGGGGCTCTACCACTGAGCCACACTCCAGTCCCTCACTGGGGGATTCTAGAGATACTCTACCACTGAGCCACACCTCAGCTCCTCACTGGGGGATTCTAGGCAGGGGCTCTACCATTGAGCCACACCCCAGCCCCTCACTGAGGGATTCTAGGCAGGGGTTCCTCTACTGAATCACACCTCAGCCCCTCACTGTGAATTCTGGGTGAACACTACCATCTAAACCACATCTCCAGCCTTGAAGTAAATGTTGAGACAGGAAATCTAGAAAATATATTTACCTAACAGTTTCTTGGTTTTGGTAATTGTTGGAGGATGGTGTTTGGGTTTGATTTCCTTCTTTCTTAATTTTTTTTTTTTAGTACAGAATCTCACCGTTGGAGCTAGGCTGGCCTGAAACTCACTGGGTAGCCTCAACTGGTCTTGAACTCTCAGTGAGATCACAGAACCTGTGATTCTCCCGCCCTAGCCTCCCAAGTGCTAAGATTATAGCTACGTGTCACCACGCCCCGGCTCAGCAGTAACTTGGCATTTCATAGAATGTGAAATGGGAACTGCAATTTGTATCTTTGTTCTTGGCTCCCCAGGCACATGGAGAATATGAGTCCACATCCAGGATTTTCTCTAATCGGTGCTTCCTTGCCGGGTGGCGGTTCTGTGGTTCATCCAGGATCTTGACACCAAAGTAGCGTAAAGAACTTTTCCCAATTTGCTGAACAAAACTAACATTTTTTTTTTTAACTTTCTGCAGTTTGGTTTGATTTCCTTCTAGAACCTCTGCTTTTGCTTATCTGCTCACAGCTTCAAGCAAATGGGAAACAGAATACAACTAAAGGAATCATACACGTGTTACAGTCTGTGAATAGGAAAACTGGAAACAGCTGATTGTCGTGAACGCAGGATTTTTTTTTTATCTACCGCATGCTCGTGGCTCTTACATAGCATTCACAGTTACATTTCCTAATAGGCAAATCACTTCTGCGATGTTTGACAGAGAACAAGTTCACATAGCTTTGCCATGTGGGCGAGGCTGGGAACCCCAGCTAGTACCACCCTAGGCATCCCATAATCTCACTGAAGTGAGCTCCTTCATGTGACAAGTTTCTGGAGAAAACGGAACCTCAGCAATGTGTGCTACTAGCAGCAAACAGCACAAGAAGGTCTTTCTCATCACCGTCAACAGCATGACCAGAACTGACTGACCTCCCTAACCCTTCCACAAGCCCCACAATGAATTACCGAGAAACTCGCTAACTTGTCTAAGGTCATCCAGCTAGTAAATGATGACCTAAGTATTTTAATGTGTCTTCGGAGCCCCTCGATTAGTCAGGGCCTCCCGGTAGAGATAGGATATGTGTAATCTGCTGGATGGTTATGGGAGCTTCTCCAGTTCCTGCTAAACCATGGATAAGGAACTCCACTCCTCCACAAATCAGGCCAGTGGTGTCTGGCAAGTGAGTCCCCTGTGTCATCCCCCCCCCCCCCCTACAGGGGCTTGGAGGAAGACATTATATACATCACGAGGCGACAACTCTAGCCAGAAGCACCTTGTATAAATAGATGCTGCGCTCTGGCCTCGTCCTAGGTCGCCTCAGTAGCCTCTCCGGGCGGAGGAACTTGGTTTGGAACAAGTTCCTTCTGCTGTGGCCTAAACTGTCAGTGGACCCGAAATCCTCCTGCCTCAGCCTCTGGAGTGTGGAGATTACAGGTGTGAGCTGCCACACCCTTTTCTGACTCCACTGTTTCTTACCTAGCCAAAAGCCCCTCTCCATTCCAGCCAGGGTAGCCTTCTCAGACACCCAAATGGGACAAAGAAGCTCCCAGGCCGGCCACCCGAAGGATGAACGCCTGTGAGATAAAGCCCTTTCCCGTACCTGGGATGGCCTTGGCCATCAACCCGGCCCTGTCTGTGGATCCAGCCTTATCTAGGCCCCTCCCTAGCTCGCCCCACACTCCAGCCTGTCAAACACCCTTGTCCTTTGTCACCAGAACAGGCCAGGCTCCGCAGCCTCTCCACCTTTGCACCTGCCGTTCCCTCCTCCAAGAGGGGAAAAAAAAAAGGCTTTCCTTCCTTATCCTTCCAGCGAATTCCTGCCTGTTTCAGGAAATGGCTCAAAGGTTCGCTCCTGCATGAAGCCCTCTCTCACTTCATGTTTCAGTGGGCCCCACTAGGATTCCACAGGCCGAGTTGTGTAAACATATGTATTTGATCCTCACTCTCCTGGAGGCTGGAAATCTGAAAGTCAGGGTCTGCCTTCTTCAGAGCCCAGTACTGGCTGGGGCTGGGTGTCTCCATGGCGCCACGTATCTCTAAAGCATGGAACCATTTCATGGGGAGGGGGGATGGCTTGCCCCCTGCTCCTTTGGTATCCCCTTCTCTGTGACGATCCCTTTCTTCCCAGCTGGCTGCAGACATCCTTCCCACTACCTGTGTCACACGCAGAGACACTTCTCACTCACATGTAGGAATTTGGAAGGCTACAGGGCCTGCAGGCTTAGGCTTGGGGGACGGAGCCCCAGTCCCCACGACTCACCTCACACACTTATTAAACCCTTCCTTGTTGGTTGCTGTATTCTTGTGCTCCAGTTCCCTCCAACCCTAAGCTCCCGTGCTCGCACGAGGAAGGACAGGCAGGTGTCAGCCTCCCGCTCACGTCTCTGTTAGCTAGGAACTTTCTCACAGCGTTCCCTTCCCCCTCAGGGGGAAAACAAACAAACAAACAAACAAACATTATTTTTAGCTGAGCAGAAAGACTGAAAAATCCCTCTTGGCTTTTAAGGATTTCTCTCCAGGGGACACTCCACAGGTGCGCGGCGTATTAATGGGTCGCGCGCCTGGCCCAGAGAGCGCCGCTCCGCTCGCATCAGCTTATTTATATGGTGTAATCTGCTTTTTCACTCGTTCAGTTCAAAAGCATCAACCTAAAAATAATCTTGTTTATGCGCCCTGGCCCGAAAACGAAGCACTTGGGCCATTAATCACTGAGAATATGTTGAATGGGAATTTGATTAAAGTACAGGATGCGTCCTCCAGACGAAGTCGGTTCTGTACTGTGGCCACAGTGGAAGCCCAGCGGGCCTCCCGGACAGCCTTCTTAGTGGCGCCTCCTCGAGCCTCCTGGGCGGATCGCAGCGCCTTTTCTGACCCGAGGGGGCCACTGCACTGAGAGTCTTGACCCGCGCACCCTGGAGTTGCAGGGAGACCCCCGACCCCAGCGTGGAACGCTGACAAACGGGGTCCGAGAGGTCGTGAGGACTCGGTTGAAGAAGCCTCGAAAGGCTCCTCGGGGTGCAGAAGGGAAAGACTCGGGTGCTCCTCAGGCCCCATCTGCCCCGACCTCCGCGGTCCAGGTGGAGAAACAGGGGGACGCCACGTGGCTGGGGAGCCGCTGCAGGCAAACGCCTACCCGCAGCGGCGAGCCTGCAGGCGGCTGGGGACCCTCCTCCCGGTGGGTGCTCGGAACCCGCAGCCGGGAACCGACGCCGGGGCTACCGAGGTCGGTGCCCACCTGAATGACAGTGGGCACAGCTCCGGACCTCTGACCACGGTCCCGGAGGCAATTCACCCCTCTTACTCCAACACCCTGCCTTCTCCCCGCCCTCGCGCGCTCGCCCCAGCGTCCTGTTCCGCGAGTCTGGGAGGGCCCACCCGCCGGTCCCCAGGGGCGAAGAAAAACAAAACAACAACAACAACAACAAAAGCCGAACAGTTTGACTGGAGGCTCCACTCAGGGAGCGCTCGCCTCGTCAGCCTAGCAATCCTAGCGCTCTGGCCTGGAGACGTAATTAAAAAAGAAAGTTTTCCAGCCAGGGCGGATGGACCGGCCAGGTCCTCCGGGCTCCGGGGTTAGCGGCCGCCTCCGCTCCCCGCCGGGTCCTAGCGCCCTACACTGAGGAGCCCGTGGGACCCTGGAGAGAGGCTGGGCGGGGAGGAGAGGTGCTCGGCCTGGAATCAGTGAGGTCGCTCGGAGTTCAGAGATAAAGACGCACAATCTCGGCGCTCTCTGGGCCTCGCCGCTCGGTGGTGCGCCCTGGGTTGCTGGTCCAAAGCGGTCCCCAACCTCCCGCGCCGCGGCCCCCCCAGGTGGGGGACAGGCCTAGTCCCAGCTTTTAAGAGTCTGCAGCACAGTAGCTCGAGACTAACATTCTCCCCTCTCCCGCCCGGCCCCCTCCCCCGCCTCCCGTTCGGCCTCTGGACGCTCCCGGGCTCCCCGGTGTTGGCTGGAAGTGGGTGACTTGAAGGAGGGGCGCCTAGCAGCGGACCACGTGTGTGCGGGGGCGACAGCGCCGCCGGGGTGGGGCTGAGCGCCGCCAACCGGGTTCGCCTTGCTGCGCAGGAGGCGGTGGGCGTTGCGCCACGGTCCCTCTCGGCGAGCACTTCGCTCCCGCCCCACTCAGCGCCTCGGAGAGAGTCACACGGAGGGAGAGAGCGAGAGAGAGCGAGCGAGAGCGAGCGAGCGAGAGAGAGGCGGGCTCTAAGACCCAGCAGGCACCATTTCGCTCTCGCCCTGGGTCCGGGGGACCCGCTCGGACACCAGGGGGCGATGCCCGACCCGATTTAAAAGCGGTCGCCGCGCGGGCCTGGCCATTCGCGACCCGGAGCTGCGCGGGCGCGAGCCGGTCGGGGGCTCCGGGTGGGCGGCGGCGCCACGCGCGGGCTGGAGGCCGCCGAGGCTCGCCATGCCGGGAGAGCTCTAACTCCCCGATGGAGCCGGCCGACTTCTACGAGGCGGAGCCGCGGCCCCCGATGAGCAGCCACCTCCAGAGCCCCCCGCACGCGCCCGGCAGCGCCGCCTTCGGCTTCCCCCGGGGCGCGGGCCCCGCGCCGCCCCCAGCCCCACCTGCCGTCCCGGAGCCGCTGGGCGGCATCTGCGAGCACGAGACGTCCATAGACATCAGCGCCTACATCGACCCGGCCGCCTTCAACGACGAGTTCCTGGCCGACCTCTTCCAGCACAGCCGGCAGCAGGAGAAGGCCAAGGCGGCGGCGGCGGGCCCCGCGGGCGGCGGCGGCGGCGGCGGCGGCGACTTTGACTACCCGGGCGCCCCGGCGGGCCCCGGCGGCGCGGTCATGTCGGCGGGGGCGCACGGCCCCCCTCCGGGCTACGGCTGCGCGGCGGCCGGCTACCTGGACGGCAGGCTGGAGCCCCTGTACGAGCGCGTCGGGGCGCCCGCGCTGCGGCCGCTGGTGATCAAGCAGGAGCCCCGCGAGGAGGACGAGGCGAAGCAGCTGGCGCTGGCCGGCCTCTTCCCCTACCAGCCGCCGCCGCCGCCGCCGCCGCCGCACCCGCACGCGTCCCCCGCGCACCTGGCCGCCCCGCACCTGCAGTTCCAGATCGCGCACTGCGGCCAGACCACCGTGCACCTGCAGCCCGGACACCCCACGCCGCCGCCCACGCCCGTGCCCAGCCCGCACCCCGCGCCCGCGCTGGCTGCCGCGGGCCTGCCGGGCCCCGGGGGCGCGCTCAAGGGCTTGGCCGGGGCGCACCCCGACCTCCGCTCGGGCGGCGGCGGCGGCGGCGGCGGCGGAGGGGCCGGCACGGGCAAGGCCAAGAAGTCGGTGGACAAGAACAGCAACGAGTACCGGGTACGTCGCGAACGGAACAACATCGCGGTGCGCAAGAGCCGGGATAAAGCCAAACAGCGCAACGTGGAGACCCAGCAGAAGGTGCTGGAGCTGACCAGTGACAATGACCGCCTGCGCAAGCGGGTGGAGCAGCTCAGCCGCGAGCTGGACACGCTGCGGGGCATCTTCCGCCAGCTGCCCGAGAGTTCCTTGGTCAAGGCCATGGGCAACCACGCGTGAGGCGCGCGCCTGCGGGACCTCCCCGCCTTGGGCCGGCCCCCTGGCCCCGGGACCGGAGAATGGTTTCGGGTCGCTGGACCTCCAGGCTGCCCGGGCCGGCCGCCACGCGAGCCGGGACTAGGAGACTCCGGTGTCGTCTGAAAGCCTGGCCTGCTCCGCGCGTCCCCTCCCTTCCTCTGAGCCGGACTCGGACTCGGTGCGTCTAAGAGGAGGGAGCCAGGCCGCGGTTTCTCCTTGAGACGGGGAGACTTTTCCCCCACCCCGCAGAGCCCAGCGGGGAGCCCGGCAATTCTAGTATTAAGGAAGTAATCCTGTGCCTTGGAGACTCAAAACTCGCTCCTTTTCCTACCGAGTAGGGGGAGCAGAACGCGTGCCTTGATGTTTTATTTGGAGGATTCCTGTCTCCTCCGAAGCTGCAGCAGGGCCCTTCCCGTGAGAAAATGAAGGGGGCAGGCCCCAGGGCAGGAGGAAAGTTCAGGAAGCTGAGATCCCCGCGGTGCTCCCGGGGCAGCCCCCCAGTCCCTGTCCTTGGAGGGGAGGGACTGAGGGAGTTGGGGATTTGGGTCTTAAGGGTGTACCCCTCCCCTGGCTACGTGGAGATGAAGGGTTCCTGGTTCCTTGATTTCCCCACCTCCACCTTCGCTCCCCACTTCGCACACAACAGGCTAGATCTCCTGGGTGAGTTCATGGAGGATGGGGGGCACCACCCCGGAGTCAGACCAGAAAGCTAGGTGTGAGTTGGCCATGTGGTTAAGGGGAGCGGTGGGAACCTAAGTTTCTGGTCTTGGGGGTTGGAGGGGTGGAAGGACACCAGGACCGTCAGCCTTGTGTACTGTATGTCGCCAGCCGCTGTTGCCGAAGGAACTTGAAGCACAATCGATCCATCCCAGAGGGACTGGAGTTATGACAAGCTTCCCAAATATTTTGCTTTATCATCCGATATCAACACTTGTATCTGGTCTCTGTGTCCCAGCGGTGCCTTGTGCAATGTCAGTGTGCACGTCTATGCTAAACCACCATTTTATTTGGTCCTTTGTTTTGTTTTGGTTTTTGCTCTGATTCTTGCCAAAATGAGACTCTTCTTCGCTCGCTAGTGGCTGGGGGAAGGAGCTGAGTGAGGCTCTTCTTTCCTTTTTTTTTTTTTTTTCCTCCCAGAGGACCAATGAAATGAAGTGGGCTTCCTCCTTCCTCCTTCCCCCAGTTTTCCAGGGACGTGTGTAGTAGTTGTGGGTCTCAGCTGAGACTGCACACAGCTTCTTCCCCCCCCCCCCCACCTCCCTACCACCAGAGGCCCTGGCTCTGGGTCTGGAAAGAAGGCCACCTCCAGCCAATTTGTACCAGGGGTAGACTGTTTCCTTCTCTTCTTTGGGGGAGGGGAGGACGGGACACACACAGAGTTTCATGCTAGATGCCGTATGTATCATATCTATAATATAAACATATCAAACTCAATTTCGGTGTCTTTTTAAAACCAGGAAGAAGCCCCTTGTAAGGTTCGTTCTGGGCTGGGTCTCGTTTGAAACCGTGTTTTCTGTGTCTGAGATCCTACGGTTTTGCATCTCTCCAGTCTCTCTTTGCCTTAGTGATGTGTGTTGGGGGTGGGCTTGGCCTAAGGAAGCCATGTAGCAGTCAAGTTTGATAAGGACTCACTGAGAAGGCCTGGGGTCTGAAGACAGAGTCCCCTTGGAATTCGGGAGTAAAGGGCTCGTGTTGTCTTAGGATCATGCTCTCTTCTTGCATCTTAGAGTAAGAGAGATCCAGAAGAGAACCACTCTGCCTGAGCCACAAGACCACATCCCCAAGTCACTCAGCTCCAGGTCTAGAGAACAAGGCTCATAGTGCCTTTGCCCAGGCTTCCACTGGGGCCTTGGAAAACAGGACTCTTCAGCCCTGCCTAGTTTCCATGCTCCAGAAGGGCAGCTTGCAGGGGAAGCCCCCTTTGCGCCTGCCTTACCTCAACCTACCCAGGGAGGGGGCCGCATCTGCCCCACAATCTCCATCCTGGACCAAACAGGAGACTGGCTTCTAATGATTACATATCCACTGCTCCAAATGCCCCATGAGGCACAGGCATCCTGTTAGCTGCAGGAACAGCTCTGGAAGGAAAGGGTGGCCTTCCTCACCATCCGCACCTGAGCCCAGAGGCCACTGGGCTCTTTTCACCTGTGATTGCTGAACAGCTTACAGTATAGACAGTGAGAAGCGACAAGTTCTCCTAAATTCTGCAAACTTCAGTGTCACCCGCCTTTGTGGTTACCACAGCCCCTTCCCCCACCGCCCTCTCTGTCCTATGCCTTGCCGCCTCCTCACCCATGGCTGCCCTTGGCAGAGGAAAGGCCAAAGCCCAGTGAGGAGGCGGTGGCCTGCCCCGTCAGCCTGGGAACTAGGGAGGCAGAGCCCCACCGCCTGCCTAGAGGCTGGGGCAGGCCTTGGCTTGCAGGCCCCAGCAAACCTACTCTGAGTTCAGTGCGAATTCCAGTTTTTCTTGTTTCCAGGGAATGATCCTTGACTCCCCACTTTGCCCCCAGAACGGGTCCTAGGCTAGGCGGGGGAGGGGCCCCTCCTGCCCTCCTTCCCTCACCACCCGAGGTGTGGGGTGGTCCTCTCCCCAGGGGCTCATAAAAGGGCACCCTTCCTGCACACTGAACCCTAGCTTTCTAGTAGGCCAAACTGGGATGAAGAATGGCCCAGCACACTAGGGAAACCTCTCTGTGTTGAGGGCATGGGCAGTGTGTCGGTTGGCCCTGTCCAGCGTGTGCTCTGTGCCTAGTTGGGAGTGGCCTCTCCAGGGGATTCGTATTTCATGAGTAAGCGAATGCACCCCCAGATATTCGTTGAATGCCGTCTTATGCCACGGCCTGTGCCCAGGATCAAGGCTCCACTGAAAACACACTCAGGACTTGCCCTTCGGGAGCTGCCAGTGCTGTGCCCCGACCCCCAGCCGTGCTGGGTGACAGATGCCTTTTCTGAACCTCATGCCTAACGGGGCCAGCCCCACATGGACCCTGTCCTCAAATGCCTGCAAACTCCCGCCATTTTGGCTGCAGTTTCTCTGGAACGCTCCTGGGCCTTGTCCGCTGGCAGCCATTGGGAAGGAAACAAGGGCAGGAGTGACAGAAGGAGGTGACTCCTTTGCCACCAGATAGCTTCATGCTGTCACGGATGTCACCCTTATCTCTTGGATCTCCTGGGAATCTGTGATCACGGGGTTTGGCCCTGACACCACCTGCCATGAGCCACTACCAGGGCGAGGAGTGCCTGCCCCTCCCAGGCCTCCCGCCCCCTCCTTCCCAGCCCAGGTGGAACCTGCTGGGCCTCCACAAGCTGCTGATTTCACAAGAGGGGAGGGGGCCCCTCATCTTGAAGGTCAAGGGGAGCAGAAGCCCTCATTTTGCTTAACCATGGGGCCACTTTTTCCAGGACGCCCACAGGCCTTCTGCAGACTCGAAGCATTGTCCTTTCCTGGATGGCGGTGACATTCTTGCTGCTGCTGCTGCTTCTCTGCACTGGTAGATAGAAGCCCTTTTCTCTTCGCCCATCTCCTTCCTTTTCTTCCTTCCTCTCATCCCCCCTTCCTTCCCCTCTCCTCTCCCCTCTTCCCTTTTCTTCTCCCTCCAAACTCTTTCTTGCCTCTGTAAATCTGCCTCTTCTTTCTCAACCCCACCCCTCCCCACCCTTATCCTTCCCAGTGGATGGAGCGTTTAACGAAAACTGTAACCTAGGAAAGAAACCAATTCACTATCAAAGCATCCTAGCCCCATCCCAGAACAATTAAACAGCCAGATGGAATCTCTGGGAAAACGCATTAATAACTCGAACAATCTGTGCAGGCCGGCAGGAGCCCAGGAGCCTGGAGCAGGGGTGGGGGGGTGGGGGCGGGGCAGCAGAGGAAGGCTGGGATGCTGGGGTGTGGGCGCCCAGCCCCATCTCACCCATGTGGTGCCCAGAGAAGGCCATCCCAAGGGTATGCCAAGCCTGCCTGCAGCTGTGCTGTCCCCTCTGGCCCTCTCGAGGCCCACTGTGTGCCCTGGATCCTAGTGGCTGCAAACAGAGCCAGACAAATATGGAACCCATTACCCAGCCAGCCACGGCCACAGCCAGCCCCATTCTGGCACCCGAGCGCTGTTTCGCTTCTCCTCACTTTTGTTTTTATTTATTATTTTTCTAGCGTTCTGGCCCCACCCGTTAAGAACAGGCCTCCCTGGGTGTATGCCTTTTTCTCTTCCCTCGCTGTGCCCGCATCCACTCCCTGTATGGACAATAGCAGAAGCTGGCCCGAGGCCCTGGAGCTCCCCATAGAAACAAAAAGTCCAGGGTCCACATTGTTTGGCCGCCCTGAGGGCCTGGACAGGGCTGGGTGTGAACCACAGGACCCGCTTCTGTCCTTCTCAAGCTTGGTCTAGGTTGAGCTCAGAAGCTAAACTCTTCTGTGGCAGTTCCCCTTTTGCAGACTATTGTCAGCAGGGGCCCACATAGGCTCTCTCTCCCTCTCTCTCTCTTTCTCTCCCTCTGTGCTGCGACTTTAAACTTGGGTCTCCTACATACCACACAAGTGATCTGCTACTGAGATACAGCCCAGCCCTTGCCATCATCACTACTATTCTTTTGAGACAGGCTCTCCCTGAGTAGCCCAGGCTGGGCTGATGAGACTTGTAATCTCCCTGCTTCAGCCTCTTGTGTGGCCGAGGATAGCCAAGCAAGCGGCACCTTCCCTGGAAAAGATGGCATTTCATATAGCTATCAGGTTGGGGTGGGAATTTACCTGTTTTAACAAGTCTCCTTGTTGGGGGCTGGAGAGAGAGCTCAGTAAAGTGCTTCCCTGGGGTGGGGACCTGAGTTTGATCCCCAGAACCCACATTAAAAATACATAATAAATAAAAAGAAAGACTGTGGTGGCAGGTGTTTGCACCGGGGAGGCAGCAAGAAAGGTGGGTTGGCCAAACCACTAGATTGTTTTGTGAACTCCAAGCCAGTGGAAGACTCTCTCCCCATCCCTCCTTTCCTCCCACCCCCTCCATCCCCTCTCTCTACATCTCACTGCCCTCTCCAGCCATGCATGCACACACACATGCACGCACCCGCATACACATAAACACATACAGAGAGAGAGTGTGCAAAAGAGAGACAAAAAGAGGAAAGGGAGAAAGAGAGCCAGGGGAGTATCTTTTTGATCTTTACAGACCAAGAGATCTATTTTCTGACCTCCGGCTTTGCAGTCTCTTGGTCTCCATCCTCCGCCCTTTTCCTCCCTCAAGGTCACCACTAGTTCTTAGAATTCCTCTGGGTCCTTGCTTGGCGTCTTGCTGACCTTGGCTTCAACAGACATCCAATATCTAGCCCAGGGCAGGTCAGTGAACAGAATGCCAAGTATCTCGTTCAGGCTTATCTCTCTCCCACCCTTGCCCTCTTCTTTCCAGTCAAGGGTCTCCTGGGTTGGCTATACGTGAGCTGAGGGCACATTGTCAGAAGCACATACAGGATGGACGGCAGACTTCCACCTCATGGCCGAGGATAGATGAGTTCTTGTTTCCAGAAGGTTTTAAAGAGAAAGACTCTAAAGCTGGGTTCGGTGGTGCACACCTTTAATCCTGGCACCCAGAAGGCAGAGGAAAGTGGATTTCCGTGAGTTCGAGGCCAGCCTGATCTACAGAGCTACTTCCAGGATAGCTAAGGCTACACAGAGAAACCCTGCCTTGAAAAAAAAAATCAAAAAAACAAAACCAAACAACCAAATAAAGAACAAGACTCTCGAAAGGTGACCTGCCTGGTCCTCAGAAGCTCTCAGTGGTGACGTGGTATTAATTTATCAGCAGACTCTGAGGGTAGACCAAAGATGGGGAAAAGCTAGGTCTCTAAAGGAGAGAGCAGGAAGGAAGGACACAGCGGACCTGATATATGCCACGAACTATCTGCATATATCACTTCTGCTACAGCAGAGGTGAAGGGGCAACTTCAGATTTGAAAGGTCCCCCAGACCTCTATGTCTCCCTTCTTATGCCCACTTTAGAGTGCCTGGAAAGGTCTTCATAGAGGGAATAATGGCCCGAGAGTAGGGACGACAGTGGTCTAGCTTCGAGTGGCCCGGACAAGGTCTGAAGAGAACCACCGCAGCCCTCCTCCGCCTGAAGAGATTTCTACTCCTTGGCAAGTGGCATGGTCAACCTTTCACTTGAAATAAAGCCACCTCTCCTTCCTAAGGAACCCCTGTCCCTGTCCAAAGCCACAGCGGCCAGAGAGAGAGCCCCACACCACTCCCTGCTGCTGCCCCCGAAGCCCACCCTCCCGGAGCCACACGCCCCCCCCCCACACACACACCAAGAACGCTGGAGCCCTCTCGCCGATAAGGAAACGAGGCCAGCTTCTAGCGGCTTTCCTGTGTGCGTGTTGGGCAATAGAGTCTCGGCTGGACACAGTTGCCAAGCCCAGACAACAGGTGGCAAAGGGGGTGTCGG